CATGTGAAGAACTGAATGATGGTTTAAGTAAGGTTGGTTGGGGTACATAAACCTAACCCTAACTGCTGTACCCCATATGACACACATCACTAACGGCTACAACATTTGACAAAAACCAATATTCTCGTCTTCACACTGCTGAGTTTCGATAAAAAGGGAAGCTCGGGCAGAGCGGTGACAGACTCGGGGCAGCCACACAACAGCTTTGGTGAAGCACGCAAGCCGTTCTGCTGTACCCCAAGCCTGGGCGCAATTCGTGAAAGCTTCTATTTTGAGGCTTGCGCCAGATCCCTAAGCTTTCGAAACCGAACCTCGTTGCCTCGGCTCCTCTAATCAAGCCGTGTCAACAGAACTAGGCAAGAATGATTGAAAGGAGGTTTCACTAGCAGCAGTTGGGGTACATATAGCAAACCCTAACTGGGTTGTACTCGCTATAGAGCACCCCACTACAGGCTAGACAATAATAACATTCTGACACACCCCCATAGCCAAAGTGGGGTGTAATCAGTACAATGAGCAGGCATAGCAATAGTTCACAATTATAAGCAAAGCTAGAGGTGATCATAGAGGGCAAGTGAGGAGGAGGAGAAACTGTGAGGGCGAGAAGATGAAAGGCGCCGACTGAAGCTGCAGACACACGGGCAACAGGAGCGGCGCGCACAGTGGCTACCGAGCGCACGAGGGCACCGGACTACGGGAGTATCTGGCTCCGCGGCTACGACGAGCACACACAGGAGCAACGGACCCACAGGCGACTGGCGAAGCAGGCTCGCTGGGCTACCGAAACGCGCGAGGGCATCCGGACTACTGGCGCTGCTGGCGTCACGACGGCTACCTCCACGCAACCTCCCCCGACCGTCCCACGCCCCTCTCACACACCCCCTGCTGACACCCTAGCTCCACTTCCACGGCACCCCCCTTAAACCCTAAACCCTCGGCTCCCACACACCCACCCCCCTCAGCGGCAGCTGCAGCAGTGGGAGACGGAGGAGGAGGAGGAGCCGCAGGTTACCCACACCGGTCACCCCCATGCCCGCCACCCCCAAACCCTAACGCAGGCAGGAGCACGGGAAACAGCAGGGGCGGGGCACGGAGGGGAAGGGAGGCAGCGGGGTGGCTCTTGGGCGCCACGAAGAAGCAGGGCGCGGGCCCCCCGAGGGCGCCACGGCGGGTGACGGGAGGGGGGCCGCGCACGGGCCCCCGAGGGCGGCTCGACGGGCGACGGGAGGGGCCGCGCGCGGGCCCCCTAGGCGCCGCGACGAGGCGACGGGAGGGGGCGGCGCGCGGGCCCCCAAGGTGCCGCGACGAGGCGACGGGAGGGGGCGGCGCGCGGGCCCCCAAGGTGCCGCGACGAGGCGACGGGAGGGGGGGGACGCGCGGGCCCCCAGGGCGCCGCGACGAGGCGACGGGAGGAGGACGACGGGGGGCAGCGCGCAGGTCCTCGGGGGCGCCACGACGGGCAGGAAACCGCCGCGCGCCTCGGGGCGCACGGCGGGCAGAAAACCGCCGTACGCCCTGAGCGCACGGCAGGAAGAAGACGGCGCGCGCCCGAGGCGTGCGAGAAGCAGAATAGCAGCGGAAGCAGTTAGGTGGCGGGCCCACCCACAGGATCGACCCAAGGGGGTCGACCTGCTCTGATAGCATGTCAACAGAACTAGGCAAGAATGATTGAAAGGAGAGAGGTTTCACTAGCAGCAGTTGGGGTACATATAGCAAACCCTAACTGGGTTGTACTCGCTATAGAGCACCCCACTACAGGCTAGACAATAATAACATTCTGGCAAGCCGAACCATATTTCGGCGTGTTCAGAGCTGGTTTTTACTTATTGTATCCATTATAATATTTCATGCAACTCAATTCCTGAATATGGTTCGACGAGAGATGGTAGGAATAAGCACCAAGACAATGTCTGGTGGTTCTAGTCGGATACGAAAGATCAATTTGCTGCACAGTGTGTTTCCTCTATGAGTGAAGGAACCACTATGGTAAGGTATGATGAGCTGGCTTTGGAAAGCTGCCGTAGTACCACATATACCAGTACATAATTTGCCCGGGATGATGACCAGGTTGAGGTGAGGTGATGAGACAGAATTCTTTCAAGTAGCCTAGTCGATATTGTTAAAAAACCTATAATTACAGTGGAATTTGTGCCCCTTCCCGTCTCCCCCTCTCCCCCTCCCTCCCCCCTCTTTCCCCAGCATGCCCTATCTCCAGGTAGCTCTGAATGTTTTAAGAGGTTGGTCATGCCGCACAGTGTACTCATCCTTCCTGGACCCATGGCGCTTCATGCTGCTCTCCTCCCCCACACCCCCCTACGACCTCCACCACCCTCCTGCCCACCCACTCCCACCTTCTTCCCCTCTTCCTCTCGCCTTGACTCGTATGCACGCCCTTCCTGCTTGCTCTGCTGGCTCTCTTCCGTCTTCCTTTCATGCAAACCGCCCTCTTGCCGTCGGAATGTCAGCTTCCGTTCCGCACCACTCCCACAACTGTTGCTCCTCTCACCCTCCCCGCGCCTCCTCATACTCTCCTGGTGTGCTGCATCCGCTGCCCCTCCTCCTCCTCTGCCTGGCTCCCCCTTCTCCCTCACAATCGCACCCACATCACGATCATTAAAGCCCTTTTTTTCATGCATCCAGCTCCTCTCACCCTGCTGGATGTTCGATCCAGGCCTTGCATCCTCCCTCCCCTTACTGAGTGTATTCCCCCTTTCTCTAGCCAAGTCACCCTCCCTATCCAATCGCCTCCCATCCTTGTCAAACCGCTGCTTCTTCTCCCTGCTCCCTTCACTCCCTCTCTTCAACTCCTTGCTGTCCTCCCTTTCCCTCATCCTCCCATCTGCCCTTCCTCTTATCCTCTCATCATCTCTCACCATGCTTCTTCCACCTACCTTGTCTTTATCCATTCCATCTCTCCCCAGCCCGCCCCCCCTTCCCTCATCATTTCTCGACCCCGCCCTTCCCTCTCTCTTGCCCATCCATCTTTGCTCTCTCTCCTCCTCTCGACCACCCTGCCCCTGCCCCAATCGTTCGAGTGCTTTCTCTTGTTCCAGAGTCGATCCTTCATTCCGCCAGCTCTCCTATCCCTATCCCTCTGCCTCTCTTCTCCACTTCTACCCTGTCCTTCTCGCTCCCGCTCTTTCCCTGCTATCCCTTCAGCCCGAAAACCCTTCCCTACATCGTCCCTTCTCACTCCCCTTTCTCTCTCATGGCCCCTCCTCATTCCCCTTTTTCTCTCATCGCCCCTTTTCAACCCCCTTCCCTCTTCATCCCTTCTAACCTCTCTTCCACTCTCGTCTTCTCTTCTAGCTCCCCTGTCCCTTTCATCCCTTTCCTTGTGTCCCACTCCTCCCCTTACCTCCAACTTTTCTGCTCCACTTGCCGCCACATCATCCTCACTCGTCCTTGCCTCTTCACCACCTTTTACATGATCCATGCCCTTCTCCTCATGCCCCATGCTTTTCCCCATCCCTTGCTGCATTCTCCCCTCCTTTCTTCCCTGTGCAATCTCCTTCCGTAATCCATCTCCACCCCTCTCCCGCCCATCTCCACTCCTCTCCCGCCCATTTCCACTCCTCCCCCACCCGTCTCCACGCCTCTCCCGCCAATCACTACTCCGTTTCGTCCATCTGCACTCTCTTCTCGCCTTCTCTTCCCAAGGGACCCTTCATCACGCCCTGAATTCTCTTCCTCTCCTCCCCTCGTCTTATGCACCTCCCCTTCCCTAAACCTGCTTCCAGGGACCCTTTCCCTACTATCCCCACCTGGCACATTACCTCTCCACACTCTCCCCTCACCACTTCCCCTTCCACTGCTCCCAACCCCTCTGGCCTCCCCTCTCCTACCTCCCTCAACCTTGCTCCACCTCCTTTCCCCTCCTGAGTTTCGAGACCCATCAAAACTCCTCCTCTCGCCTTCCACAATCCTCCCTCCCTTCTCCTCACGTGCTCTCCTCCTCACACCTCCCCCACCTCCTCCGTCCCACTCTTCTCGCATCCTCTGCACCACAGGTGTGCTCCTCCCCCCTTCTCCTTCTCCTCTCCCTCCTCGTCCCTCCACTGCCTCCCCTCGCTCTCCCCCCTCTACTGCTCCTCCTCCCGAGGTCCCTTCCCCAGCCACCATCCTGCCTGCATTCGTCCCTTGCTCCTCCCTCATCCTGCTCCTCTCACCACCAGCAAGTCTAATGGCTTGCCTTCCCCCACTCATGCTACTCAACCTGCTGCTACTGCCGCCTGTACTGCTGCTACTCGTCTCTTCACTACTGCTGCTCACACTGCTGCTGCTGGTGCTGTCACTGCTATCACTGCTACCACTGCTACCACTGCCATCACTGCTGCTGTGATGGCGCATGCTGCTGCTGCCCCTAGGCCCCGCCATAAGCTCGCCTTCATCTGCCTTCATACTTGCATTTGAGTCAAGCCTCACATTCCCATCACCATGCCCCACCCTGCTACTGTTACCATGCCCCACTATGCCACCACTGCCATGCCCCTCCAACCTGTCTGGCCTGAGGGGCTCTGCTGCTGATCCCCCCACTTCCACCCTCTGCCGCTTGCCCCACCTCCCACCCACCTCCCCTGCATCTGATCCCTCCCTTTCCATCCCTTGTCCGACCCCCCTCTGCAACCTCACAACTCCCACATCCTCACCCCTCTGCAACCCCACAACCCCCACACCCTCGTGTCCCTCATTTTGCCCCTCTGCCTCTGTCTCTCCTCCACCAAGTGTAGCAGGTAGATGCAGGGCATGGGGCATCAGAGGAGGAGCAGGAGGCAGCAGAGGGACGGCCGCAGGTATGAGTGGGTGTGGGGCGTGGGGAGAGATGGAGCAAGGCGCTGGGGAGGGGGATGGAGGGATTGGCATGGCTGTGTGGGAGGGAGAGGGTATGATACGAGGCAATGTGCGGGAGGGAGAGGGAGATGGGGGGAGGTTGGGGATGGAACGAGAGGGAGATGGCACGGCAGCTGGAGAAGTTGCAGGCAGTGCAGCAGAAAAAAGGGTTACGGAATGGGGAGGAGGTATGGAAGGGGAAGAGGGCATGGGAGGGGGCGAGGGTATTGGAGCGGAAGGGGTTGTCCGAGCATGAGGGAAAGGGACGGCATGAAGAGCAGGGGGAGAAAGATCATGTGGGGAATCGAGGGCCGGATGTGAAGGAGGATGGATTGAACCCTGCGTGATTCCACTGTCGTGTAGCTTGTTAGTGGGGGCTGCTCCTGATTGCCTAAGGGTGAGTCCGGAAACATTCGGCTCCACCACCCTTCATCTCCACCATCCCCACCACCCCCATCATCCCCACCATCCCCTCCTCCCCTTTCTCCATCCCCTCCCCCCGTTGCTCCGCCCTCATCTGCTCCCCAAGAGCCCTGCCCCAAGCTCCCATCCCGCCACATGCCACCCGCCTGCTCCTCGCCCCTCCAAGGCACTTGCACCGCACCACACCCCACCTCGCCCACGGGCTCGTGTTTACCACGCACATCATCACCGTCCCCATCCCCATCAACCCCGCCCCAGTCGCAGGGAGCAGAGGACACTGAATTCCTGCCTGCACCGGCCGTGCTCCCACTCTCACCTCCCTCACTCCCTTTTACAACCATCACCCCTTTCGCCTGCCCCATCCCATCCTTTCGAAATCTCTTCGCGCGCCCCTCTGTTGCGCACTGCCCGTCCTCTCCCACCCCGCCCTCCTCTTCCTCTGCCTGCACCTCTTCATGCCCCACAAAGCCCCCAAACTCTTCTTGCACTCCCTGATGTGTGTCCACATCGGAGGAATCATGCGTGTGACCCTGTGCATCTGCATGTGTGTGGGCATGTGCATCATGTGCATGTGCATACGCATCTGCACTTGCATGTGCATATGGATGGTCTGCTGCCATGCCATGCACATGGCTCGATGCCACACCTCCCCCCTCGCCATCCCCTCTCTCCCTGTCGCTGCCTTCACCCATCCCCAGACACAGCTCCCTCCCTTGTATTCCAATTCCTTGTATACCTCCTGCACCACCCATATGGTCCCCACCCATATGGTCACCACCCATGTGACCCCCACCAACATCTTGAACTTCAGCCACCATCCTGTCCAGCTCACTCCACAGCTCCTGCTTCCACTGCTCCTCTTCCTCCTCTTCCTCCTCCTCTTCCTCCTCTTCCTCCTCTTCCTCCTCTTCCTCTTCCTCATCTGCTACCACTGCTCCCACTTCCTCTTCCCCAAAGCCCCACACTGTGCCTTCCTTTCCCTCATCACTATCAATAGCCTCCTCCTCCCCTCCCTCCTCCTCCTCTTTCTCATCCTCGTCCTCCTCGCCCTCCCCCTCCCCGTCTCTTCCCCACATACCACCGTCTGTTCCCACTCCCCCGTGATCCGCCATCCCAAATTCCACACTCTCACTGCTCACCGCATTCAACCCATCCCTGATAACCACACGCACACGCACTACCTCTTTCAATAGCAATCGCGCCGCCTTCTCCCCTTCCACCACCACATGCACCCAGTTCCCATCCCCATCCAATACAAATCTTTCCTCCTCTCCAATGAAAACTCGCCCCACACACCTCCTCCCTCCTCCTCCTCCTCCTCCTCCTCCTCCTCCTCCTCCTCCTCCTCCTCCTCCTCCTCCTCCTCCTCCCCCTCACTCCTCTTCTCACCAGTCCCCTCGCTTACTTCCCAAACGTCCCTTCCTCTCAGCCCACCCCTTCCACCTCTCCCCCTGCCCCTTGCACCGAATCTCACCACTTCCGACTCTTCCTCCTCACCGCATGGCACCTCTGCCAACCACTCACTGCCCCTCCCTCCGCCTCGCCTGCCTCTTCCTCTCACCTGCGTGCCTCTCCCTCTCTCCATGTCCCTGCCCGTCCTCTCCCACTCCCCTGCTCGCCTTCCCCCACCCCTGCTCAGCAGACCCACCCCTATCTCCTCTTCAAAATCAATGTCCCTCCCACCCCGCCTCTCCTCCTCCTCTTCCTCCTCCTCTTCCTCCTCCTCTTCTTCCTCCTCATCCTCCCCATTCTCCTCTTCTTCCTCCTCCTCCACTGCCTCCTCCTGCTCCTCGTTTTCTTCCTTCTCTTCCTCACAACCCAATGACTTCTCCTCTTCCTCCCCGACTTGCCTCCTCCCTCGCTTCACACGCCCTCCCACAACCACCTTTGCACCGTTTTCAACCACCTCCTCACCGCCCCCTTCTCCCCACATCACCTCCTGCAACCTCTTCTGCCTCCCACCTCCCTCCACACCTCCCTCATCAACCCCCATCAATGCCCTTCCTTCTCTCCCCGCATTCCCAACCTTCCCCTCATCCTCCCTATACCGCATCCCCTTACCTGTATAAACACCAGCACCTCCCTGCACTGTAACAGGTGCAAGCCCACCCCCATCCCCATGCATATCCGCATCCACGTGTTTGTCCGCATGCCCACGTGCCTCTCCCCCCTGGCATTCACGGCACGTGTAAGAGGGCTGTCGCAGGGCCGTGGTCCATCCCTTCACGCCGTAGCCCTTGCGGCGCTTGAAGCACTGGTAGCAGAATCGGAGGGCGCACAGGGAGCACTGCACTGCTGCTCCGTGGCCCCCGCACCACACGCACGCTGCTCTGTTCCCACTAGTACCTGCCACTGCTCCTTCTGCTGCTGCTGTAGCTGCTGTTGCTGCTGCGGCCGCTGCTGCTGCTGCTGCTGCTGCTGGTGCTGCTGTTGCTGTTTCAGCAATAGGCACGGCTGATGAGGCAAGGGGTGCAGCGGAATGGGGTGGCAGTGATGGTGGCGATGCGAGGGGTTTGGCTTCACACTCCTCCTCCACTGCAGTTCGCTGCCCCTTCATCCCAGCGCTCCCACTCTTCCTCTCACCGCTCCCTGTCTTCCTCTCTCCTCCGCACACCTCTCTCAGCACTCCTGCTCTCCTCTCTCCGCTCTCCCTCTTCATCTCATCGTGTTCCTCTTTCCCTTGCACCTGCTGCAACTCCCATGGGCCCCATGCATCAGCAGCAGCACTCAGATCATTCTCAACGCCATAATAATCCGCAGCTTTACCAGCACCAGCACCATCAACACCACCAACATCATCATCACCACCACGAGTGGCACCACCAGGATTGATACCTCCTTCCCTGCTTGCTCCGCGCCCATGCTGTTCCACCTCTGCAACAACAGGGAAAGCAGCAGAGGCAGTGGCAGCGGCAGCAGCAGCAGCAGTGGTAACGGCAGTGGCACAAGGACTGGGGAGGGTGGAGGAAGGAGAGGCGTTCTCCTCGTGGAGGGGAGTTGATGGTGCGAGCTGAGCTGCCTCTAGCTGCTGCATTCGGGCCTGATGGGCAAGCAAGCAGAGGGGGAGGGAAGAAAATGAAGAGGGAAGGAAGTGGAGCGGGGGGGATACTCTAGGAGAGCGGGTGAGGTGACCCCTGTGTGCCATGCAAGCCAGATGGCGAATGGTGGCGACTCTCCAAGGCACGGCACATTGCATCCATTCACAAGCATGGCATATGGCCGCCACTCACATGCACGAGGTGAAGCAGAGAGGGCATTCCTCCACTCGCCTCCCTTCGTTTTCTCCAATGCTCCCTCACAGCCCCCATATGCTCCCTCACAGCCCCCATATGCTCCCTCACAGCCCCCATATGCTCCCTCACAGCCCCCATATGCTCCCCCAGAAACCCTGGCTCCCACTCCTGAGGCATCTCATCAACCGTCCGTTTCACTGGCCCCACATTCCCCTTCTCTCCGTCTGCACGCCTCTGCTCCCTCGCCACTTGAGTCCCATTAAAACCTTTGTAAAAAAACGGCGGCGCTGCCACATAGTCAGTAACCATTGCTGCGTTCTCATGTTTAGCAGTGCCATGTGCGGCATGGGCATCTGTAGGAGAGGCTGCTACCTCTTCACCCCCCTGCACGCCTGCAGCGTGTGCGGCACAGAAGGCCGTCACCTGCCTCTGGTACAGGTCGGTCTCTCGCACCTGCCAGAGTGGGGGAAGAAGGGATGTGGAGGAGGGAGATTAGGGAAAGGAGATGCAGGGGAAATGGGACATTACCTAGAACGGGAGGATTATGAAAAGTTCTTATGAGGAGCATTGAGCCAAAAAAGAAGTTGCACATGAGCAACAGAGCCACCCTGTGCCACAAGAAGAGCGTTCTTTCATTGTGACAATAACAGCGAGTATTATAATGAGTCGTAGCGAGTCTTACGATAACGAAGCAGGCAATGCAATAGAGACTTACAATAGCGGAGCAGCCATGCATCAGACCGCAGCGAACATGAAAGCGGGTGGTGCAGAGAGGGTAGGCGCAGGGGAGCAGGTCGAGAGGGCCGTCTGGCTGATGGCAGAATGCACAGCACGCCACTGCTGCTGCTGAAACACCTGCTGCTGCTGCCAGATGTTGTCTGCTTTCGGCCCTCTTCTTTGCAGAAATTGCCACGCCCCTGTGTGTGGAAGGAGTGGGTTTGAAAAGGGAGTAAGGGGTGAGGGACAGAGAGGTATGGAGGGAGGGGTAGACAGGGAGAAGGGAGAGGCGGAGCGAGAAAATGAGGAGGAGAGAAGGGAACGAATGGAAAGGGAGGAAGAGAGAAGGGCGGGCAGAGAGAGAGGGACTCACATGATGGGTTGGAGGGACTCGGCACTGCCGAAGAACACATGGCAGTCGAAGAGAGCACATGTCACATGCACCCAGCGCAGGTGCCTCAACGCTGCTGGCATGTCTCTTGACGCAGCTAGCATGCGCTTCGACACACATGGCATGTCTCTCGATGCAGCTGGCATGGCCATGTCTCCTTGATGTTTCGTGTTGCCCTCTTGACACGCGCCACTGACATGTTGACTCATGGCCTTGCCATCATGATCCCTGCCTGGGTCACCCTTCCCTCGGCCTCCGCCGCTACCACTTGCACTGCAAGCTCTTTTCTCCTCCCCTGCTGCATCCCTCCCACCACTGCCACGTTCCCTCTGCAGCGCCCTGTGATGAACTCCCTCCTGCACCCCACTGCGCTCCTCTTTAAGCGCGACAGGACCAGCAGCACCGACTGCATTCGCCTCACCCTCTCCTTTCATTTCACTGCCTACTTCCTGCCAGCCGCTGCTCTCTCTCTTCTTGCCCACCCTTGCTTGCCACTCCTGCCTGTGCCTGCCCTTCCCCTGCCCCACTCTGTTCATTTCACCCTGCCCTTGCATCCCTCCCTCCTGCCTTCTGCTCTTGTGCGTCCCGCGATCTTGGCCATTGCTTTTGCTGCTCTCATCACTGCTGCTCCCACTGCTTGTCCCACTGCTGCTGTTGCTCCCACTGCCACTACCACTCTTGCTTTCACCACTGCTTCCACTCTCACTCTCACTTCCACTGCTGCTACTGCTGCTGCTGCTACTGCTAGTGTCCACAAAGCTATCGCTTCTCCTCTGTTTCTTCCCCATTGAACTAAATCCACCAATCACCCACTGCTCTTGGTCGCCCCCTGATTGCTTCTCTCTTCTCCCTCCCCCCTGCTTCCCTCTTCCATTAGCCTCTCCTTCCCTAGCCTCCCCCATCTTCACATTCCCGTACTCTCTCTCGCTCTGCTATCTCCCTTTAACTTTGCCACCGTCACGGCCCGATTCAACGCCTCTCCTTTCACCCTCCTTCCCTCTCGGCCAGCATCCTTTCTCGAAACGCGTCCCTGCTGCTCTTGCCGCTCTCTCCTCTTCCCCTGCTGTTTGCTCTCCGCTCGCTTCCTCATCAGGGCCCGATTCTCCTTCCTCTCACCACCCGACTCCCCACCAGCTTCCCCTTTAATCCCTGCCCCACCTGCTCCTCCCACTCGGCCCCCTGCTCCCGCCAACTGCTCCTCTGCCCGCCCCACACCCTCTCCACACTCCTCATGGTCCTCACGCCCCCACACTCCCCATTCCTCTCGGCATCGGCTGGTAGAGGCCCGTCCAGGCACGGCTTGAACGCGCCCGCTCTGGTAACACAGCACAAGGAACAGCTGCGGAGGAGGTGGGTGGGTGGGGGGCGACGGGTTGATGGTTGCGGGTTAAGGGACAGACGCCTATTTTTGAGGCACCTCGAAAGGAGGGGGTGGGCGTGGGGGTGACGGGTTGGTGCTGTGATGGTAAGGACCGGTAGAGAGGAAACATGTCCGACGGCGCAGCTTCAAATCAAAGGTTGAAAGCCATGGAGGCATTGTGAGAGGGGGTGAAAGCAAGCCGGGAAAGCAATTGGATGGGTGGAGAGGGGCTTGGCAGCAGAGGCAAGAGCGCACACAAGAGGCGGTCAGGAGGTTTGTCGTGCATGCATGCTCACGTGAGGGGAGGCGGCTGGGAGCAGGTGTTGGCAGCCGCAGCATCGCCACCACTGCTGCATGCTCTGGTGTAGAGATGGCATGGCACACAGCGCCACTTGAACCGCCTTGCCGCTGCCTCCTTGCTCAGCTGCATACCCTCCCCCACACCACCGTACACACTCTGACCAGCAGCAGCAGCGCCACCAGCAGCACCTTTCCCGGTCTGACCTGACTCCCAGCCCGACCCCTCCTCTGCCTTCCCCTCGCTAGCCAGTGGGAGCAGCGGTGGCAGAGGGGGGAGGTGCAGGGAGGGGGGGAGGAGGGAGCGCGCAGCCCAGAGAGGGGGAAGGCCCACTGCGCCGTAGCAGAGCTGGTGGACTGCTGTCGCACAGAGGGAGCAGCAGAGGAACTGATGGGGGAGGGGAGAGGGTGGATGGGTGGGAGGTTAGGTGGAGAGAGGAGCACACAGCATGCAGGTGACTGCAACACGCTGTGGCTGCCACATCACATGTCCGTGCACGCAAAACAAGCACGGTACATGCTGTGCCATGCCAACCCACACACAGTTTGGGATCTGACGCACTGAACGAGCGTGCCTGCATGCATGCATGCATGCATGGATGGTGCGGCACTCACAGGGTTGTAGGGCGTCTCCCCGGGTTGAAAGCACACATCGCATCGCAGTGCCTCCGCGTCATGCCGCCCTGCCCTTGGCCCCTGTGGCGCTCGCAGGGTCCCCAACGGTTCCAACCGCTGTGGCGGTCGCAGGGTCTCCAACCCCTGTGGCGAGCCTGCTTGCACGTGGAGCTTAAGGTCAAAATCAGAAGAACCATCGGCCTGGTCTGACAACCCAGCACCACGAGCAGCGGCAGCATCCTCATCAGCAGACGCATCGTCATCATCACCAACAGCAGCAGCAGCTGTAGCAGTAGCAGCATCACCGACAGCAGCAGCAGGAGCCGCAGGAGCAGCATAGAGAGCAGCAGCAGGGTGGAGGTCCAGAGAGGCCATGCACGCCTCAAACGCCTCCTCCGACAGACCCATCTTCTCAGATGCCTCAACACTCCCACTCTCTGACTGCTCGTTCCCAGCTCTTGTATGCTCATGCGCATGCGCATGGGCATGTGCATGGGCATGGGTGAGTCTGCTGTTGTAGGCCGTCAGCCATGCAGCATCCTCCTCATCCATGTCATACTGCATGCCATGCTGCATGCCACTCTGCATGCCATGCTGCATGCCATTCTGTTGCACGTCATCCTGTTGAATGTCTTTCTGTTGCATGGCACAGCGCAGCACTTGCCTCCTGACTGGTCGAAAGCTGCCACCAATTTCCTGCCAAGCGCATCCACATGGCATGGGGAATGAATGAACGTTGTGAATGGTGACCCCGTGATCATGAGATTGAAGGCTCAGGTAGAAAAGGTAAGGTGGAGAAGAGAAGGCAGGGTACAAAGTATATTGCGAGGACAATAATTCCTGAAAGAAGGTAGATTGAAAAGGGGTTCACCTGGAGAAGGGTCGCCCACCCAATATCCACGAAATGGAGGTATTGCTTACCTGCGTGCTCACACCTATTCACTGAGTGTGAGCACGCTGATTGGAAGGAAAGGAATTAGGTGGTTACTGGAATATGTTGCACCACAGCCCCCTCTCCAACACTGCTTGGCTCTGCCTTTCGCCCATCGGCCGGGGGCTGCCATCGCTGCTCTCCTCCTCCTCTTCGCTGCTCTCCTCTCCCTCCCCCCTCCTTTGCTGCTCTTCCTCTTCCTTCGTCTCTCCTCTCCCTCTACTCTTCTTTCCTCCTCTCCCTCCTCCCTCCTTTTCTCATCTTTCCCTTCCTCTTCCTCTTCCTCTACCTCTTCTATTCGTTTCTCCTCTCCCTCTTCCCTTCTTTTCTCATCTTCCTCTTCCTCTTCCTCTTTTCTTCGTTTCTCCTCTTCCTTTTCCCTTCGCTTGTCCTCTTCCCTCCTGTCTTGCTCTTCCTGTTCCCCTTTCTTCTCCTCTTCCCTCCTCTCTCCTTGCTCTTCCCTTCTCCTCTCATCTTCATCTTCCCTTCTCTCTCTTTGCTCTTCCCTTCTCCTCTCATCTTCATCTTCCCTTCTCCTCTCTCTTTGCTCTTCCCTTCTCCTCTCCTCTTGCTCTTCCCTTTCCTCTCCTCTTACTCTTCCCTTATCCTCTCCTCTTGCTCTTCCCTTCTCCTCTCCTCTTGCTCTTCCCTTCTCTCCTCTTCCCCTCCCCTCACCTTCTCCACTTCCTCTTCCGTATCTCCTCCCCTTCGTCTATTTCTCCCTGTGCCTTTTCCTCTATCCCTCCCTTCTTCTCTCCCGTCACCCCTCCCTCCCCTTCCTCCCCGTCCTTCTTATCAGCTTCCTCCTTCGCTTCATCAACCATCATCCACATTCCTAAATCACTACCTTCAGGTGTGAGTCGCACAGCCTCATCTTCCCCTTCTCTTGCATCCGGCGTCTTTTGAGTCGACTCAAAATACACCCGGCATTCAGTTGTGAGTCGCACAGCTTCATCATCTCCCCCTTTTCTTGCATCATCCGCTCTCATCATCAGCACTTCAGCAGGGAGAGGAGAAGAAGCAAGGGTGGCTGTGCTGCGAGTATGTGCACTATCACTTAGGCTCGCAGCACTGCCGCCCTCCTCCTCCTCAACACCGGTTAATATCCGCCTAGCTCCTTCTAATCTCCCACCGACTGCATCACGCATCTTGCTTCCTACTTCTACCTTCGGAATCATTTCTTGTCTTTCCTGCCCCTTGCCCTCCTCTTCCTCCTCCTCCTCTTTCTCCCCTTGCTCCTGCTTCTCCTCCTGACCCTCCTCTTCCTCCTCCTCCACCTCCACTTGCTTCTCCCTCTCCTCCTGATTCTCCTCCTCTTTCCCCTCCTCCTCCTCAATCCACTCCTCGTCAATCCCCCATCCCTCCCCCTCAACACCCCAGTGTGTTCCCAACAAATGCGGCCTGGCATCATAACCACCTTCCCCTGCATGCCCCAACAGCTGCTGCCTGAAACCGTCTCTCCCTTTCTCCCTCTCAACATCCTTACTGGCCTCATTATCAGCATCCCAATCTTCCCTCCTGCCATCCCTCACAATCTTGTTCTCATCCTCTCTCCTTCTCTCACTCTCATCCTCTCTCCATCTTTCACTCTCATCCTCTCTCCATCTTTCACTCTCATCCTCACTCTTTTTCTCAATCTCATCCACTCTCTTCTTTTCACTCTTATCCTCTCTCCTCCTCTCAGTTTCATCCTCCCTCCTCTTCTCATCCTCATCCTCTCTCCTCCTCTCACTCTCATCCTCTCTTCCCTTCCCACTCTCATCCTCTCTCCCCTTCTCAGTCCACTCATCCCTCCGCCTGTCCCTTTCAGCATCTCTCCCCTTCTCACGCTTTCCCTCCAATGCTCGTGCCCTCAACGCTCCAACTTTAACCAGTCTCGAGTAACCCTTCTTTTCTACCACCATGCTTTCACACATTCTCTTGGCACCAATCTCGCTTGCTCCTCCTGTCCTCATACCTTCTTTGCTCCCTCCCATCTTGCTCCCTCCCAATTTTCTGCCTCCCAGTTTGAAGCCTATAGTTGCTGGTGCCATCGTGACCCCTCCGTACTCCCCTCCCTCCGTGTTCCCTCACTCCAAACCCCTTCCCTCCCAATACCCTTCCTATGACAGGTGCGCCTTTGCTTCCTGTGGCCGCATCTCTATCTCTTCTCTTCTCTGTCCCACCAACGCCCAAACCCCTGCTGTCTGAACCTGTTCCCACGAGTCCCTTTCTTCCAGCACCAACACTCAGCAGGTACCCAGACGGCTCCACACCCTTCACCTTCCCTGATGTGCCCGCAGCTCCCTTCACCAGCAAAGCGCCCTCGCTTCTCTGCCCCTTTACTCGACCCTGATCACCACCACCACCACCACCATCACCACCACCACTACCTATTCTCACTCCAGTATCTCTTTTCACCACACTCCCTGCACCTGACCCAGCACTTGCCTTGCCACCAGCCTTCACACCCTTCCCCCTCTCTACGCCCCACACACTCTTCACCTGTCGTCCCCCCTCTCTCCACTCACCCCCACCTCCCACCCCATCAACTCTCGCCGCTACCTTCCCTATACTCCCTGCATCTCCACCGTCCGCTCCACCTCTCGCTGCATCTGCACCGTCCAGTCCACCCCTTCCAGCCCCTACCCTGGCACCAGCCTTCACACTCGTCCCATACCCTCTGCCTTCCTTGCTCCCACTCCTCACAACCCCAGCGTTCCTCACAAGACCACCACCCTTGACATGCCCACCAGTCTTCACATGCCCACCACTCTTCACATGCCCACCACTCCCTTCTCTTTCTGCGCCCTTTCCAAGTCTGCCGCCCTCTCTCCACGGACCCTCCTCTGCCTCCCTCGCACCACCACCCCTTCCCGCACCTGCACTGCCCCCTTCCTTCCCCCAGCCTTCCGGGCCATTCCTAGCAGTCGCAGTGGCAGGAGCAGCTAGAGGTGCTTTCGAAGAATGCTTGATAGGGGCCTGGCCGGGAGCAGCAGCATGGGTTTTTCCGAAACAAGGTCTTGGGAGCAGCAGTCGAGAGAACAGGGGGACGGCTGATGCACTCTTAGCAGGGGCAGCGGAGGGGGCAGTAGCGGAGGGTGCTTGTAACGAGGTCTTGAAGTGGGCAGTGGGGAGAGCAGAAGGGGCTGCTTCTGCTGCTGTTGTTGCTTTTTTTAGAGGCGCTGTGACAGCTGTGGCAGAGGAGCAGCCAGGCTTGCCAGAGGCTGTGGTGATAGCAGAGATCGGTTCTTTTTAACGGGCGCTTGAAGGGGCCAGGGGGGGGAGCAGCAGCAGATGGTTCTTTGCACGTGCTCTTAGCAGGGGCTGTGGGACTACAGCAGGGGAGTCAATTGTGAGAGTGGCTGTGGAAGGCGCAGTGGAGGGTGCTTGTAACGAGGTCTTAGTAGGAACAGAGGAGGGAGCACCAGAGGGTGTTTGTATCGAGCTCTTGGCCGAGACAGTGGAGTGAGCGGAAGAGGGTGCTTGTAACGAGCTCTTGTCAGTGGCAGTGGGGGGAGCAGCGTCAGGTGAAGGAACCGCAGAGCAGGGAACAGTGGCAGAGGAAGGAGAATCAGAAGAGGGAGCGGCAGATGAGGAGGGGCGGAGGGCAAAGAGCACTTCGATTCCGGTTGGCGGGCGGTGCTGGGCAGACGGGCTGATGGTGGGGAGACGGGTCACGGGAGGGAAAAGGTGGGAAGACGGGAGGGAAAAGGTGGGGGAGGAAGTGAGACGAGCATAGAGAGCAGAGCACTGGGAGAGGAAAGGGAAGGAAAGGATTGTCCAAGCGGACGGCTCAAGCGCGTTCAGACACACTTGCGTCATGCTGCATGCCATTTTGGTTACTGTTCTGGCGCGCGTCGAGACTCACGCGCGTTCAGACACACTTGCGAGGCCCCATTTTGGTTACTTTTGAGGCGCCTCAAAACCATTTTGGTTACTGTTCTGGCGCGCGTCGATACTCAAAACACCAGTCACTCACATTGAAGCGTTGCTTTTAGACGCCATTGATTCGAGCGCACAGCAATGCGCGCCTGAAAAGGACAATCCTGAAAGGGAAAAACAAGGAAAACGAAAAAGGGAACAGGATTGGCCTGAGAACGAACCGGAGGGTGTGTGGGGGGTGGAGGCAGAGAGGCGGGAAGAGACGGGGAGAAAGAGACGGGAGAGCTAGGGAGGGAGGGAGGGAGGGAGGGAGGGAGGGAGGGAGGGAGGGAGGGAGGGAGGGAGGGAGGGAGGGAGGGAGGGAGGGAGGTAGGGAGGTAGGG